TACCTACCAGCTATTCAGCTATTAGCGGTTCTGCGTTAACAGCAGCATTGATTGTTACTATAAGTATTTCCGTTTGCACCAAGGGGCAAAAGCAAATATATCTGCATAAACTCTCACTCATACAGTTTTTGCATGAAAAAATTGCATAACATACTGCGCAAGAATTGTTTCGATGCTCGTGAGTCGGCTAAATCAGCACATCAGGAGAAAACATTAGCTCACCTGTCATATTGTTTTGAAAATTTCGTCATTCTTTACATAGAGCACAGTAACGTTAGAATGCCACCCCATGTCCTCAGACAACTGGCAGGAACTTCTGCGGAACGTGGGAAAGTTCCGCCGGGTCACCTGCGGGAGTTCCGTAGACGTGCATCGGAAGTTTCCAAATAAGCTGCTGCGGAAGTTCCGAACAATGCGAACCACAACAGCAAAAGAAAACATTCAAAGCGAGACCTGAACCTTACTCTTTTGACTGCGAAACCCACCTACTATCCTCTGCACTACAGATGACATGTAGTAATGCAGTTTAGTTGTTGGCGAGGTGTTGCGGCTCGGTGGGCTCTGCGCCCCCTCACCTAGTGCTCGACTGCCTTGCGTCCAGCTCCTGTCCCCGAAGGACTTCCGCAGCTGCGGGTGGGCCCAGCCCACAACGGCGCGTTACGCCTACACGAACGAGACAAATAACATACGTAAAATTTACTAAATAAATATGCACGACAAAAATATACGATATAAACAAATGTAAATGTACATACCACGGGGAGAGTTAAGCTCTACCCCGGGCTACCGATGGGGACTCTGGCTTACTCACACTCACACACTAACACACTCTCACTCTCTCCCGGCATCCAAGGGAGCTACCCACAGGCCGGCCGCGCGCCGCCAAGGCAGCAGCTACGGCACGGCAACACCGACCCCATGATGTTAACCAACAGCATCGAACAAAGCTCCCAACAAATCCTGCGCGACCAAGGCGCTCCGTGATGTTCATCATCCTGGAATTCTATCCTCGCGCATACATCCCAACAATCCATCAACGATCCATCCAATCGCGCGAGGCACGGGGACGTAGACACGACGGCGATATCGTGGAAACCCAACCAATCAATAATCAAGGCGGCACGACGATAATAGTAAGATGATAAGACGAGAGAGGCCGCACTGGCGCGCGTACGCGCTATTTATAGCGGTGGCTGGGGGCGTGCCTACATGGTGTGGTCTCGGAGCGAACAAGGTAGCCGCCGTAAAGCGCGGCGACCGTGCCCACGACCGAGACGCGCGGCAACACGGTGCTCCCGGCCACATGCTGTGAGGAGCGGTCGATCGCGAGCCGCGACACTCCCCCCCCCCCCCACAACGAAAGGCATTGGGCGTTGCGAGTAGGTGGTTACGTGATAGCACCGTGACCTGGGGCAACTGCCTTAACCTAAAAAATTTGGGCGATGATAGAAAAAAAGAGAAACATACGGCATCGGTAGCGAGGGAACAGGCACCAACCCGCCCCGTGGTAAAGCACAAAAATAAACACAAAACTACAGGCGCTTTGACGCGCAGGTGACTACTAGAATAAACCGGAGCACTCAAGGCGCTTACCAAATAAATATGAACAATGATTAAAAATACTTCTACAGCTACTAAACTATGTACAACGTTTCAGGATAGACGCTCCAGCCCATAACATCATCATCGTTCCACCTCGCCATCTCACCATCCATCTCGACCAGCGCTGATCTTACTGCGCATCCAGCTCGCACTACGTCCCCCGCACCATCAACGTCTAACCACTCTAAATATACTCATACGTTCAACATCTAGGAAGCGTAATGCCCGAAACAAAACCTACCACCCCGCAACCTACATGACGCGCGTCCTGGAACGCACACCCTGAAACAAAGGAAACCTCCACCCTCTCTTAATTTTGGATAAATCTACGATAAAAAGAGCACAAAATGAAACAATGTACTGAGAGGGTGTTGGCTTCTTGACAAAAAGTACTACGTCTTTCCCGAAACATCCCCGAATTCGTGCGTCTAGCACCCGTCCGGACCGAATTGGACGAAGGTCCAGCCTCCCGCCGAGGACAAAATGCCTCGACGAGGGGATCGACCCCGCAACTCAAGGACCCGGAGGTGCACCACTGTGGGTCTGTTCAAGGAAAGACGGCCCAACCTATAGAGCAGATGTTACAGGAGCCTGGTGGACTGCTCGCAATGGCTCTATGGTCGGGACTTAGGCAAATGAGACGGCGCGTCCAATGACGGCTGCAACTTCCTAAAGTAGACTGTACCGCTAAGCTGCTCGACAGAGTAGCAGTGATAAACAAGTTAAAAAATTAGCGGAAAATTTAATTGGTGTTAACGCGCTACTACAATAGGAAGTATAACTGGTAGGGAGCCGACGAACTAAGATGTTACGCGGGACTTTACATGGCGCGATAGATGTTAACGCGCTCCACAAGTGCGCCGGATGGTGTTAGTGCTGGGTTAACTAGCTCGACGGATGCTACACGGTAAGTAGGCAAAGTATAAAGAATTTTAGAGGCGCGACAGTCACAAAAATGTTAAAGTGCAAAAGAAAATTGACTGACGCGCAGATACAAAAAGTTAGTAAATTTAGAAGTATAAACTGTAAAAAAGAAAAGTTCAAACCAAAATTCAAAGTTAATGTTGCCTACTAATACCGTTCGAGTCCGCAGTATCACCCGGTTGCGCGTCCGCCTGCGCATCTTGTGGAGTTACCGCCGGTACTCGACCACGAAGCTCCATCAACTCCTGCCAGAAGTCGTCTTCAGACCGCGCGTCGAAATTCCTATTCCCGGCTCGCCGTTGGTCCCATCGTCCTGAAAATAGATCATCGTCACAAGATATTCTAAGCTGATTAGCAGCGCGTTCAAACTGCGCAGTGGGACTTCCCTCTAGACGTTCGACGATGAATCCATGGCATGGGCATGGCTAATACTCAGAGCGACAACTAAATGATGACACATACCTGACCCACCTATTTAGCGCGTTGCGCTAAATATATAGGCACGCAAACTGAGTATATTCAATGTTGGAATATGAGCCAAGCTGCCGAGAAAGACACTACAGCGAGTGCGGGAGTAGGTGCTACCCGCAGGACCATTCAAATATTCGTCAAATCGGGTTACACTGCATACCGAGTGTGTGAAAATAAAGGATGGAGCAATGACACAACAAAACAGTAATGCAGGCGACAAGTAAGTCCGAGTATAGGCCAATCCAAGTAGAAGGGGATAAATCCGACAAAGCAACGGCGAAAGCCGCGCGTATAACTACAGCCGATGTTGATGGCTACGGGTCCCTAACGTAAGCGTCCACGGAGAAGATAGTATAAACGTATCTACGGGTCGCGCGTTAGGTAAGTCTAAATCCAGAAAAGAGGTTGCACTGAAGGGCATGCTTGCCAATGTACAGTAGTGCTCGCGGTTACTAGCTGGCCAGGCAACTTAAACACACGAGCATGATGGTAACAACTGTAAATGAACAAAACACACTAAGCCTAAGCACAACAATGAAGCCAAGCTACTGCGGGCGAAGGATATCCATGAAGTACGGCTGGCGCGCTAGGCGCAATATCTCGTCAAACGACGATACAACTCAAAAATAGGACGATGCCAACCTAGATGGTAAAGGAGTACTTCATTTGCCGAAGATATAATCAAATAAGCTTGGCCGAGGTCAAAGTGCAGATGGAACGCACAACGAAAGCAAAGGCGCGACACTACTAAGAGCACTCACGCGAAAGAAGAAGCCTGTAGATGAAATAGGCAATGAGAAGAAAAATTTACATTGCGCCAACGGAAGATGACATACTGCGAAAGGCGCGCTTGCAAGGTATAGCATAACAAATACCAGGATTAACGCGCAGTACAAGGGATATCCAAAAGTGCGCAAGTCACGCAGACGATGTACTAAACGCGCGTAAAGAAAAAAAACCGGGTTCAAGTCAAAGCCGGATGAATGACAGTCTTGCAGGTAGCCAAGGATCAAGGAAAAATTGCAACTACGCAGAGCATTTACAGGAACAACTGCCAGGACATAGAATGGACCCAAAATGAAACGCGCGTGCAGAAGTTACTGCAATGAGCAAGGAGATGGTGATAGGCTCACGGCTCGCGAAGCTGCAAAAAGGAACAAAAATACTGATTTGGCTGAAATGCAGGCTGCAATGCAGTAGACAATAGCAACTGTGAAGATGGAACAGGTTCGCTATACACCAAGGATAGATTACTTAGCGAGAAGTACAGATCTACTGCCTAACCGACGCTCTAAGGCCGAAGACGAAGTTTGCGCGAAATGAGCAGTTGGGTCACGCATTCACCAAGATTACGAAAACACAAAAGGGGCTATGGTTGCTTATTGCGTCGACAACAACAAACAAGACATAGGAAATAAGGGAAGAAACGCAAAGGATCCAATGATCGATATGCACAAAAAGGTGGGGTACACGCCGCCTAAAGTGCGCGCTCAACAACAATTGCTTCAGGACCCAACTGAAGAAAAAGTGGGGAAATAAGGGACAAAAATTAAAAAAAGAAGGGCATTCCGCCGCAAAAACACAACATCTGGCCTGATAGTAAAAACAGAGCGTAAAGCTCGACAACGGCCTGGCATCAGACAAATCAGAACAAAAAAGAAGGAAACAGAGGCTCGCTACCTGGATGGAAAACGGTAAGAAATCCTGCCTGTTTCTAATGGCTCTCTCTGTCATACTATCCGTCGTGTGACCAACGACATCGAAGATGGACCATGCCTGAACGAAGCGCGGCGCGCTAGGGGGCAACACTCACACCCATCGGTAACCTAAAAAAATACATATAATTATAAATAGAGAAATCACAGAACACGCTCCCTACTACCCATGCCAACGAATAGCCCTACTAGACCCGTTCAACTTACCCAACCTACTCCACCACAGAAGGAAAGACAAAAAAAAGAAGTGTAGTACGTAACCGTGGGGGTAACCAAAGGACGTAAGGCAAACAGAGCATGAATAACGACAGAGTGTCACTGAAGAGCCTGCGCGGCACTAAGTGGCGCGCGTATAACAAGGTACGGGAAAGGCTATCCTGTCGGAGGCCGGTCTGGAAACTGCTCAGGGCTCCTGTCGGCGAACGGAGAGGCCATCAATGATGACCCGTGGGCACTTGGACCATATCCTGCTAAAAACCGTGCTTCGTGCCAATTGCCGTCTTTCATCGTCATCCTGCTGATGGTACCTTCCAACATCTTGCTCGGCAGTTCCTATCCTTCTAGCACGGCTGCTCTCCGCTTTGTACTAGGGGTGGTGGGCGAACTAAAGGGGCATAGCCTCAAGGGCCCAAGTGCGCTTATTGCACCAAAGAGGCTAACCTTACGGCCCCATGTAGCACTACGCCGGGGATAGAGGTCACTACGGGTCACAATTGGGCCAATCTTGTACTACGGACTAAACTACTAGACTAAACTACGGACTACAGGAGATTAAACTACGGGGACAAGACTAATACCGGTTGTAGGGAAAACTAAACTACAGTAGAGCGAAGAAAAGAAGTGGTGTGAAAAAAAAACTAACAGGATACGGATCAAAGGACCCCTAGTACCAATCCAAACTCACATCTACCCCCCAAACTCAAAGTTACTTAGAAAACACAAAACACAAAAGCTATAGAACACAACATACTAACTATAAAACCCCAGCTTACAAGAAAGAACCCGAATCCCGTCTCCCCGGCTATGGTCCAAGCTCCTATATGTGTATATAGGACGGTGTCGATCCCCAGCTGCGATTCTTCGCGCGTCTTGATACAGCTCCACCTTCGCGCGTCCACCGATACAGCTCTACGCAGCTCCATACCCCTCTCTCGTCGCTCCTCCTGTCCACTGCTCGTCCTTCGCCTTCGAACTAGCGCGTGCAACGATACAGCACTGAAACGCGTTCGACGATACAACACTGGTACACGTACGACGATACAATACTGAAGCGCGTTCAACGATACAATACTACATACGCGTGCAACGATACAGCTCTGAAACGCGTTCGACGATACAACACTGGTACACGTACGACGATACAATACTGAAGCGCGTTCAACGATACAATACTACATACGCGTGCAACGATACAGCTCTAAATCGCGCTCCTTGACTTCCATCCGTCTGCCTTCCAACTGTCCATCTCCGTGCCATCTTCCCTCTCGAACAACAATCCGACATCAAAACTCTCCTGGCGCGTACTCCGATACAGCTCTCTCGCGTCCTCCGATACAATCCTGAAATGCGCGTACAACGATACAACTCTTCTTCGCGCCTCCGCGATCTGGTCTTCTGCGCGCAGCGTGCTCAACGATACAACACTAAATGCACGTGCAACGATACAACTCAGGCGCGCTCGCGATCGTCTTATCCTTCGTCTCATCTTCATCCTCCTTCTGTCGGCATCCATCTTCCATCGATCGTACTCCGTCAAGGCTTCCATCTATCAACTCTTCCTATCCTGCTTCCCCCAATCCTTCGTCCAAATCCCGAAGACTCGACTTGTGCGGCCGCTGGTACTCTCCGGTACCCCCTATCGAGCCCGCCGACTACGACACCGGCCCTCCACCTGGGCAGTACTTTCCAAGCGCGACAGGCTTACCAGGTATCGCATGACGTGGTCGCTCGGCCGATTGGGGTTCTAGTTGGCAAGTTGCCACAGTCTTCCCGACTATCCCCCCGCGCTGACACGCCATGCTTCGCACCCTGGCTACCTTCCGGCACTCTTGTTACTGGCTACGTAGGTATTCAACTCTGTCTCTCTGTTTGCCAAAACTTCCTACTGGGGCGCTGAGCGTGGTAGCTTCGGGCTCGTTACGCACGCATGATGGATGGGATAGCGCGTTCCTTCGACAACACAACAACGACGCGACACACCGATGGCACACAATCTGCTCCAACTTGCGCGACTAACCCATCCGCGGGCGGCGACGCCATCCACCATGCGCTCGGCATCGATGCACCATGTTGCGGCTCGGTGGGCTCTGCGCCCCCTCACCTAGTGCTCGACTGCCTTGCGTCCAGCTCCTGTCCCCGAAGGACTTCCGCAGCTGCGGGTGGGCCCAGCCCACAACGGCGCGTTACGCCTACACGAACGAGACAAATAACATACGTAAAATTTCTTAAATAAATATGCACGACAAAAATATACGATATAAACAAATGTAAATGTACATACCACGGGGAGAGTTAAGCTCTACCCCGGGCTACCGATGGGGACTCTGGCTTACTCACACTCACACACTAACACACTCTCACTCTCTCCCGGCATCCAAGGGAGCTACCCACAGGCCGGCCGCGCGCCGCCAAGGCAGCAGCTACGGCACGGCAACACCGACCCCATGATGTTAACCAACAGCATCGAACAAAGCTCCCAACAAATCCTGCGCGACCAAGGCGCTCCGTGATGTTCATCATCCTGGAATTCTATCCTCGCGCATACATCCCAACAATCCATCAACGATCCATCCAATCGCGCGAGGCACGGGGACGTAGACACGACGGCGATATCGTGGAAACCCAACCAATCAATAATCAAGGCGGCACGACGATAATAGTAAGATGATAAGACGAGAGAGGCCGCACTGGCGCGCGTACGCGCTATTTATAGCGGTGGCTGGGGGCGTGCCTACATGGTGTGGTCTCGGAGCGAACAAGGTAGCCGCCGTAAAGCGCGGCGACCGTGCCCACGACCGAGACGCGCGGCAACACGGTGCTCCCGGCCACATGCTGTGAGGAGCGGTCGATCGCGAGCCGCGACACGAGGCAACGTCATACGAAACAACACATTCAAAACCCTAGCACTGGCATGTCAAAGTGCTGCGGAACCGCTGGCATTTTGCGGAAGTTCCGCAGCGCTTTGTAAAAAGTCCGCGGAAGTTCCCGTTTACAATCAGTTTGGCGTGAAAATTTTGCGGGATTTCCCATTTTCAGCGTTTCCACTTTTGCAATAGTGAACAAAACCCTGCGAAACCGCTCCAAATTTCGCTTGTCCTACGGAGGTTTCGGTGAATTGTCAGAGTTAGAATGCATTTGCAAAATGGGTCAAGCCTATATTAAGCATCCTAGAGTTGTTGGGTACATCAAATCAAGTACTGAATTTGAAGCACCAAAGTACAGCTGTTGTGTGATGATATCAAGCAAAAATAGCTTCGACATCGTCCTTGTGCTGGATTTGCGCCTAGCAACATGGAAAAAGATTAGGTAACAACAGATGAAGCATGCTTTGAGTGCACAGCTTTTTATCGTGCTCGGCAAAGTCATTGCACGAATTGAAACATGGGCAATAATAATCTTTCACCTTTATTTTCCTCCCAGTGCCCATTGATTCGCTTTTGACAAATTTTTATGAGCGCCTCTTGCAAAATTTGTGTTCCGATAAGTGACTTCCACAGCAGTGACCCTACGAATTATTGTGCTTCAAATTGCTTATTGTGTAACATTCAGGTTGAAAGTCAGGTACATTTGTACAGGCATAGGCCAGTGATATATATAGTCTTAGAGCGTTATTCTGTCAAAGATGAAGCAGTGCATGATCCTTTCGGTAAGTCCTTGCTGAATGGGCAAGCTTTCTAGCGATTCAAGAAACGATAGAATATTTCAGTTCTTCACTCTCTCCGTAATCAGCAATAAGATGGTAGGTCTTCTGTCATGCTTTGACGGCAAAAACATTATACCTATTCCCTGATCTTTAAACACAAACATTTTAGGTTTCGGCATTCAACATGTTTCTTCCTGATCCCACAGTAGTCACCGATAGCGTTCGAGAGATGCTTGGAAAACGTTGCAAACATCCTTATGTCAGTACTAAAGAGCATGAGTGTTCTGAATATTGTGTCATAAATACATACTTCTATGCGACCATTTTTACTTAGCGAATAGTTTCGTCATTTAATTCTTACTATGGATAGAACTCACGATTTAATATAAACAAAAACTTTAAGCCTTTCCTTACTAAATCCATGTATGATATCACGAAGTTGCTGAGAGATCAAGAAAGAGTAACAGGACCAATCAGAATGGACTATCAAGAACATGAGCTTCAATTTGCACTATCTGGAGGGTTCGCAAAAATTACCTATACGCACTGTTTCTACTAAACGACTTTTTTCAGGGATTTCACGAGTTTAACGTCTGCCGGAGCAAAAGTGAAAGAACTCTACATGGTTATTTCTGCACTTAGCACAAAAGTAAGGGACGGTTAGATTTTATAACACTTTTTTTCTGATAGACAGCTGTTAAAGGATCCGAAATTATTGAGGAAATAACTAATATTAGGATTTTTCAGTTGTGCCGCTTTGATGGAGTGGGATGCTCTGCATCAAAAAGCAATATTGGTTGCGTCTTCCATAGATCACAAGAAATCCGATGGGCAGAATACTTTCTATTGTGCCAAGAACTGAAAAGTCGTGGAAAAAAAATCAAATGCGTTGAGGTAAGACGATCTCATGCTGTGCAACTCTCATCCTGAAATGAAAGAATCTAGGATACATAGAATAGTTGTTTGGATGGAAATGTACATGCGCATAATTTTGTAGACTTTTTGAAAACAGAGCAAGGTCTTAGATTTGAGGAAAACGAAAATCATGAAATCGATCATGGTCATGCCTGTAATTACAGCATTGAAATATCCGGGCAAAAAAGGAAGTTCAAGTAATTTTCACAAAATGAATTTTGGTTGCAACATCCTCAGGTAGTCGCCGGGGACAGGCGGCCATAGGACATGTGCGGGCGGGCACCGGAAAAATAATTCGCTGATTTCTTGCGGTCCTCTTGTAGACAAATAGAAAAATTCGGGTGGAATTTTAGACAAATGCTTGGAGAACAAGTTTTTTCATAGATTACTTAGGTCGCAGTGGTTGTAATCTCGCGGAGTCCGCGAGAATATGCAAAATTGGGGGCTCCACGGACCTTTGGAAAGAGCACAGCTTGTAGGTACCTTCCGCTGCGAGAAAGTACCCCAAACTCGGGTAATTAAATCACATCGATGACACCTCTGTTATGTAGGTGTTACCTTTGCTCGGCTTACGCCCGTGCGTGCAGTGTAGACACCAAGCAATCAACAAGTATTAAGATTCCATGGAGCCTAAGTAGCAAATAGTTCTCAAGAATCTTTCATCTCTTGTTTTCCACTCAGCTATGACTTGCAAAAGGCACTACAAGAACAAAATTTGAAAAACTAAATCTCTAGAGAATTTGTTTTCACGATCTTATCTTTGGTACAGAATATTGTGGTAAATACTTGAACATGTTTTGTAGAGCTTTCTCGCAAACATCATATGCTGCTAGTAATTACGGTGCTTCAAATTTTGCTGTAAGCAACAATGAAGAGAAAACAGCTTTATCTAGAAGATCTAAAGCAATCAAAATTCTTTGCGTGTGCACTGCAAAGCAGCTCATACTATATATCAGCCATACTGTGCTCACAACTTGATAGCTTTTCCGCAAGCCCATAGACTATCTTTCCAGGTACCAGCCGATAAACAACATTACATTAATGGAAATACGCAAGACACACAGGCGCAACGCAGTAGATAGATTCAATAAAATTTGCTGAACTTTTTTGCATGCTTTTTTCTTTTAATTCAAAGAAATGTACTTATATTTCTTCTGCACATCAGCTAGCACAGTGTTTTACATCGAAGTAACTGTTCTGGTTATGTATCATTCAGCGTTGCTTACCCAAATCCGTCTATCTGCTGTGCTCCTCGAGCGTACTTATGAGCGTTCCAGGAGCTACGCGCACGTAGCAAGTACATTGAAAAAAAAAACGGCTCAAACAGTTTATGTTATATCAGGGCGCTCTATGCAATGGGATAGAGTGCAACTTGGCATTGTCCTAATTAAGTGGAGGGACAACAATGATTGATTTCATAAAGATCTTGCTTTATTAACTAAAAAAACATTTGCAGTTCCAGGAGTCCCATAATGCTCTCCAAAATGGCATAAAAGTCACTAGTCTGGATCTCCACTTCCAAAAGCGTTCAGCCCTATGAGAGCAATCATGATTCAGAAATTCGCAGAAAGCATCCATGCAAAAGCCAGACATCTGAAGCATCTGATTACAGCTCACTGCGATATTATTCGCTGAACTATTACGGCAGTTCCATAAAAATCAGAGGTTCTGCCGCACAATCTGCAAAATCTTTAATGTACAAAAACCCCATTTTGATGGAGAGAAAAGAACATTGTTGGCAGCTTTTGGGATGAAGATGAGACTAGACACAGTTAATTCGCCAAAAGTTCAACTTCTGTTGCAATTCTGATAAACAGCAGTATTGCATTTTCGTGCTATTAGAACAAGATATGTTGCGAGAAAAAGATACACAGCAGCAAAATTGATTTTTGTTAATTTTATTGAAAATAGGTAAACAAGAAAATTCGTTCAGCACGAACTCTTCTTATTACGTTACGTCATCAAGTCATCAAACATCAAATGATTATGTTTCCGAATTTAGTGAAGCTTTGGTAACCTCAACCTAAAATTATCAGACAACTAATTTGTTCTTTCGCTTGGCCGCTTATAGCTACAATTACTGGAAAGCATGAATTCCTTCCATTGTGATACGAGAATCAAGCACATCCGTCGACTTAGCAGGAAGTTACGTATATTGTTAACGGAGAAAAAATTTGATTTCTAGATTTTCATACATGGCCTTGAGCCAAGTATGCACGCGACACCAGTTTCAGGAAGTTT